ATGTATTCCACTGTGATTTTACTGCGTTTAATTTTTTTTAATAAAAAAATTAAAATATACTTTTTTTTTTTTTAATAATAAGCTATTATAAAAATATAATATAATAATATCATATAATATAATAAATTCCAGTTCGTTTTTCGTTTTTGAAAAGTGATTATTACAATAATGAGAAGTGTGGCGTTTTCACTCATGGCCACATGAGGGCAGCAGAGACCGCTTGATATCTGTGCTACTCACAAGAAAAGTTCTGCAGGAACCACGAAGGACTGTATTACAACAAACAGCATGCAAGATTCCTGTAGATAAATTTAAGGAACCAGCGGGAATACTTAAATATATTTGCTCTGCCTTCAGATTTGTATTTTACACGCAGGTAACACGGGAATCGCTTTTTGGGGTCGGATCTTTTTAAATGAATCGTTTGAAATGGTTCGCAAAAGCGGCCTGAACGATTCGTTCATGAATCATAGTGATTCAGTAGGCTAACAGCGGTTCTCGAGTCAAAAACTCGAGACATTGAACGGAGAACCGTCTCTTTCCAACAAAGCATTAGAAGTGAATCGAAGATTTTACTGAGGGGACGTTTTATTTGTTATGCAACATCGGGATATCAGGGACCACGTGATTTCGTAATTACGCCGTGACGTAAAAGAACCACTGAATCGTTTATTTGAACTGGTTCACCGAAAACAAGAACCGATTCGCGGGAATGAATCAGAATACCGATTTCCGAATTCTCATCTTTCTTTATGTGTTTTTCTAGCAACAATATAACTTTATGTGACTAAAGAGATGTATTTATTTGTATTCATAAAAAAACACATCTTGTTGCAATATGCTTTTGTGGTATCTGACCTCAGAGATCCCTGATAACATGCGACCTCACACGGTTTCACATTCATTTGCACCTCTGACAGTTCTGTAGCTTCCCGTGATAATTTAATATGTTAGTATAATTAAATGTTTAGTTTAATGGTATGTAATATGACTTCTGAATGTGTGATAAACCAATGTTTGCTAGCCATAAATGCCGTAGGTCACAAATCATCCGTCAGAGACTAATAAACATTGTAGTAGAGCTTTAGCCTTACAAGACTGACAAAGACTGGATTGTTATGAACTGACAAACAACCTGGAAAGATTCAAAGACAGACCCATGAACATCAGAATCCTCTGCTGAGCTGAATTATGACAATAGAGGTTATAGACTTCTGATAAGAGCATAGAAATGATCAATATGGGTAAACAGAAAATTCAAGACTACACACCTAAACTCCCATAAGATTCAGTTTGAATCAAATGGCATAACAAATAAAAACCATCTATCATATATGTGCACAGAGATATAGGCTACTAATGCATGCTCTCCTCAAAATAGTGTCCATCTATAAGAAAATGCATGATTATCATTTGGGAAGGAGTCTGTTTGAATACAGATTTCTGCACAGCGCTGTCTGGGTTTGATCAGTGAGAGACAACTTATCTCAGAGGTGTGGATCTAACATCTGCAGGCATTTGGCTGTATAAATCTATATTAGTCTTGCATACATCATTCTGACTCAAAGGATCCCAGATGCACAGGCCAGTCGAGATGTGCTGTTTCTCAGGGAGATAGATCACATCCGACAACCTTTCCACCTGTTGATTCCTTGAGTACAATGAAAAAGCTGAGCAAAAATCTCCATGCACTTTCAATGCGCCCGACGGGGAAAGTTGTCAGAACGTTCTGGCAAGGTTCTGCCAAATGTTCTTCCTGTAACGTTAATAGAATGTTTGTTCAAAATCAGCATAAAAAAAAAGTTATTTCTGCATTGTTCATGGAATGTTTCTGAAACATTTTAGTTAGAAGTTCATGTAACATTTTTTTTTTTTAAATGTGACTGCTTTTCTCAGAACGTCCAGGGAACATTCAAAAGTAATGTTCCCATTCAAAATGGAATGTTCTCTCAACATTCACATAACCAAGAGAAAACATGTTTAAAACATTTAAAAAAACGGGATGTTTTGAACATTCAGAGAACGTGTTCATAATGGGAACATATTTTTGCAAAACAGCAGCTTGAATATACTTTAAACCAGGGGTGTTAAACTCAGTTCCTGGAGGGCCGCAGCCCTGCAGAGTTTAGTTCCAACCCTGCTCCAACACACATACCATGTAGTTTTCAAATAAGTCTAAAGGACCTGATGAGCTGGATCAGGTGTGTTTAATTAGGGTTGGAGCTAAACTCTGCAGGGCAGCGGCCCTCTAGGAATTGAGTTTGACACCCCTGCTTTAAACCAGGGGTGTTAAACTCAGTTCCTGGAGGGGCGGTGTCTTGCAGAGTTTAGATTCAACCCTAATTAAACACACCTCATCCAACTAATCAAGTCCTTTAGACTTATTTGAAAACTACATGGTATGTGTGTTGGAACAAAACTCTGCAAGGCTCCGGCCCTCCAGGAATTGAGTTTGATACCCCTGCTTTAAAAGATCTCCTACAGCAGGGGTGTCCAAACTCGGTCCTGGAGGGCCGGGGTCCTGCAGAGTTTAGCTCCAACA